GGGCGCCGGCTGGTGCATCTTCGTGTACAACCTGTCGCCCGAGGCGGACGAAAGCGTGCTGTGGCAGCTGTTCGGTCCCTTCGGCGCCGTCACCAACGTCAAGGTCATCCGAGACTTCACCACCAACAAGTGCAAGGGCTTCGGCTTCGTCACCATGACCAACTACGACGAGGCGGCCATGGCCATCGCCAGCCTCAACGGCTACCGCCTGGGCGAGCGCGTTCTGCAGGTGTCGTTCAAGACCAGCAAACAGCACAAGGCCTGAGCTGCCCCCTCCCCGCCACCCCTTCCCCGGGCAGCAGAGAGAGAGAAAGAGAGAGAGAAGGGGCCCGAGAGAGACAGCCCAGGCAGGCGGACCCCATTCCTGCGGAAGCCACAGGGTGAGCGCCGGGGCGGGGGGTCTGCGGGGAAGAGGGGCGCCCGGGGGCTCCCCGTCCATCCGCCCCACCCCATCCCCAGCTGGGCTTCACTCTCTCGTCTTGGTTTGGTTCATGGTGAAGGTTTTTGTTCCTTTTTTTGGCTAAAATGAAAGCAGAGACGAGCCCCCCAACCTCCCCTTCCACCACCCTCCGTAGGATGGTTTGGGGGACACGGTGGGGGCCCCTCCCAGGCCCCTCGGCCCAGGCCTCCCTGACTGTCTTAAGTGGGTCTGGAGAGAGGGGGAAGGGAACTGGTTTAAAAATCCCCAAAATTAAAAAAATGCAAAACGCGAAGAGGGGTGTGGACATCCCTGGCTCCCAGGACCCCTGGGAGGGAGAAGGGAGCAGGGGGAGGGGCAGGGCCGGAAGCGGAAACAAAATGGAGAAAAAAAGGGGGGTGGGAGGGGAAGAAAAACTCTATTTTTGTAAAAAGGGCAAAAGACCTCGTGGAGAATTTTTACTGGGGATTCTTGAACTTGAAAAAAAAAAAATCACAAAAAAAGACAAAAAAAAACAAAGAAACTATTTTGGCAGGTTATGTTTACCACTGGGGCACGGGCAGGGCCGAGGGGCCACAGGGCCACACGGGGCTCCGCACTCACACCACAGGGCCAGGCGCAGACGCGCACAGACACACCTGGAGACACGTTGAGGAGCTCAGGGGACAGACCCAGAGGAGACAGGCTTGGGTGACACTGGTGTGGACACGGGCGTGCAGACGGAGTCTGTTTCTGTCCACGCGGGTGCAGGACATAGCACGGCGGACCCAGACGTGCAGAGCAGAGCAGGACGCCCGGTCAGACCCACAGACAACTCGGGCAGGGACACACGAGCTCAGAGCAGCCCCGGCCCTTCCCTGGACCTTCGGGGTCCCCCTGCTGCCCACCGACAGCGTCACACACCCAGACACACGATACCTCGTTCCACTTTGGCGTCAGGCGGGCTGGGGGCAGCGCCCCGCCCCACAACACTCGAGGCCAAAGGACCCTGGCCCTGAGCCTCCTCCTCCCACCAGGGCCGGGACTCCCCGGCAGCAAGCACCTAGCAGCCCCCTCAGGCCCGGGGTGGACAGGCCCTACACCCCTTTCCGTCCGCTTTGTCACCCCCTTTGGTTCCTTAGGTTCTGTTTTCGTCTCCAGACTGGGGAGGGCGGTGGTCACAGCCCTCATCCAGAGGCCCAGCCCTGGCTTCTGTCTGGATTTTGCCCCCCGCCCCAACAATGCCTTCTCTTCCCCTACTTTTCATTGTTTAAAAAAAAAAAAAAAAATCCCAACAGAAGCCAAAGGCCGGAGCCCTGGAAGCCCCTCACCCCTCAGTGGGCCCAGTCAGAACCGAGAATCGCGAAGCCCCGTCAGACCCAGTGGCCTTCTCCTCCCCGCTGTCCTCTGCGTCCGGTGTCCGGCCACGGCCCCGATTTGAACGTCCAGCTCTCTCTCCCCACCCCTCCCGGTGTTGTTACTTAAACGTCTGTGGAGCTTCTGCTGCAAGGAACAAAAGAAAAAAAATCAAAAAAGTAACAAAAAAAAAAAGAAAAAGAAAAATAGAAGAGGAAGAAAAAAAGCAACAAAAAAAGAAAACAGAAAAAAAAAACCACACACACAGAAGAGATTTAAAAAAAAAAAAAAAAGACATAAACTGGCACCAGTTAACTTTCTTGTACTTTTTTGCTGAATTTAGCTTCTTGTAGTTTTAACTTATTGCTATGTTAACTATTTATTATTCCTGTTGACCTGTAAGGACCTTTGTGTATATTTCTGTTACTTCATCCGGTTTGCAAGTTAAAGGAACTCCGATGTTCTCTTTGTTTCTTTAAGTTTTGCTGAGACGTGCTAATGCCTAATTTATTTATAAGAGGGGAAGTGGAATCATTAAAGTCATAATAATTATTAATAACAGTCATGGTAGCCGAGTGGCACGGGGGAGCGTGGGTTCCGCAGGGCTGACCCCCGTGGGCCGGCGACATCTGGGGTGTCGAGGGGATTCATTTTGCTCTTGTCTTGAGAATTTTTTCAGTCCTATTTAGCTTGTTCACAATACATGAATCTATTCTTGTGGTTTTCAGTCTGCCCTCCTCTCTCCCCACCCTCCCAGCAGGGCAGGGACCCCCAACTCTCCCCCAGTGGGTCCACCCCTCTTTCCCTGCTGTTTCTGGGGCTTTCTCCCCGCCGCCCTCCACATAGAGCAATAAGGGCAGGGTTCGTCCCCCCACCCTGGGGGGGGCCAGGCCCGCAGAGGGGACGGGACGCCTCCCCACACCCCTGCCGCCCCCAACTCGGGAGGGGACCTCTTTTTCTAAAGCAGAGCTCAGCCCAGCCAGGCCCCCTCCCTGGAGGCCGGCCCCTACCCCAGGGGCCAGGCCCAGGGCTCCCCAGAGGGACCTCAGGCTTCCACCTCCCTGGGGGCGGGCAGGGCCAGCAGGGAGGGGGCTCGGCCCCTCCAACCCCCCCTTCATCCTGTAATTTATTCGGAAGCTTTCAAATCGCGACAGAGTCCATGTTGGAGGTGATAAAGAACTGTTAAAAAAAAAAAAAAAGAAAAGAAAA